GGTGGGAGCGAATCCAGCTCTTAGTTGACATTCCATCCTGGGGAGGTTAAGATAAGCACTGCCCTCAAGGCCGTGCCACTGGGAGCCAGATAGATAAACCAATTGTTTTGGAACAAAGCAGCCTTGAATTACCTGCTGCTTTTGAAGTGTCTTTACTGCAAACTCTGAGGTGGCGAAAAAAAGCCARTCAGCCAAATTTGGGATCTTCCTCGCCTCTCACCGTCTGAAGCTCACCCAGAATGTAGTCCATACATGCCGAAGGGTCACTCCTGAGCTGTGATCCTCGTCAGAATCACATCCAGTTTGCGATTTTTCCCCCAGCTGAGAGTCTGTGTGCTACCAACCCAACAGAATCCTTCAAGTGCGCCCGACAGCTCTTGTTATTAGTCGACAGTTAAATTCCCTTTTGTTCAGAAAGCTATCATCCGAAAAGTGGCTTGCACAAATATATAAATATTTATATAATTTTTCATCTGAGGGTTACTTCCAAAATTGAAATCAAACCATTTCTTAAGAACCATGTCATCCTTGGGAAGCTTAAAAAGAGGGTAGCCTCCTTGGCATCCAAAAATTAGTTTCCTCAAACACATTTTTTAATTCGAAAAGGACTGGACTGAGAAGTATTACGTGCTCAGCAGATATGGCTTAAATGGGTGTTTGCTAGTTTTTGCTGCCGATACCCTGCAGGAGTCGCAGGTGTGTGTGCTCTGTGATGAGGAAGCTCAGCTTGGAGACACAGCCCAGAGGAGGAGCTGCTCCTAAAAGGTGGTTTTAGGCCCAACCAGCTGTTTTGCTCCCCTGCCTGTGTTGCAGGGTATAATCCTGAGTGATTTAACTTTATTAATATCAGGTTCATTTCTTAAATTTGATTTAAAACATGTAAGAGACAAAGTAATTTTTCTTTATTTCGAACGGGGATTAGTTCAGCGCATTACCAAAAGGATCCACCAGGGGAACTCACCTGCCCTTTCACTCACTCAGTACAGACAAGTGAACGGAGGAACGGTGATTCAGTCTCCTGTGCTCATTTTCTCTTATTATCTCCCTTCTTTTAAGGTAATTAATGGGATAAACTTTTAAGAGAGTGACATGTGGGTGTACACTAGTACAAAGAATATGTTATTGTGTTAACTGTTTTGACTGGAAAATATTTGTATTACATGTTTTGGAAATTACTTTTCGTTTTGTTATAAAAGCATAATTTAAGTAAGGATAAAATGCTTAAAATTGTGAAATACATTTAATGTAAAACACTTGTTTAGGTTGCGGTTAAAAAAAAGCAGTTTAAATCATCCATCCATCCATTTTCTGTACACGCTTCTTCCTTTTCAGGGTTGCGTGGGTCACTGGTGCCCATATCCAGCAGTCACAGTGCGAGGGGCGGGGTACACCCTGGACAGGTCGCAAGTCCATCACAGGGCCCAGTTTAAATCATTTCTAGTTAAAGATTATACAGATGTTGGTGTGAGAAAAAGATGCTCCTGTGTTCAGTTTTCAGTATTTTATTTGGTAATGCAGGAGTAATATATAGCACTAAAAGCTGCTTTCGTTAGCAATTTGTCATGTGTATTGTTTTCTAAAACGCACTCATTACAGACGAGTGAATGGAGAAACGGTGATTCGGTCTCCCGTGTTCATTTTCTCTTATCTCCCTTCTTTTAAGGGGTAACACCTGCCTGCCTCAGGACACTACAGGATTTCTCAAACATGCATCAATGAGTCAAAGTCAGACTCTGGACATGTTTTTGATGAGATGATAACATTATAACATGAAATAAAACTCAAAAAGTTGATTTTACATGATATAGCCCCTTTAAGATCAAATGAGGTTTAGTATTAGTACTGGCTGTATCAGTGAGCTGAAACCTATGAGACCTATGTCTGACCCTGTGAGACCCTGCCTGCTCTACTGATCTCTGCAGGCTTTACTTATCTGCTGACTAATGAGGGTGTAAAAAGAAAAGAATTAATCACTTTAAACCAGGGATGTCAAACTCATGTTAGTTAAAGGGCCACATTCAGCCTAATTTAATCTCACGTGGGCCCATCAGTAAAATCACAATAACATGGAGAACATGCAGACTCCACACAGAAAGACCCCAGGTCCGAATCAGGGATCAGTCTTGCTGTGAGGCATCGGTGCTAACCACTGAGCCATCGTGCTGCCTTCATCATGCATGTTTTTATTAACTCACCCTCAGTGTGTGGCTTGGATGCACATGCTGTTTCATTAGTGATTAGCTACTTAACTAACATTTTTCATGAAAAAGACGCCAGAGGGAAAATACATCCACATCACAAGGCAAAGATTAGAACAGRAAGGCTTGTTGCTGCCATCTATTGGTTAGTCCTGAGGCAGTGCAATGTCAGTTTCTGCTACTACCTGCAGTGCACCCCTAATGGACATATTAGAAATAGCCATGCAACTGAAACATTACAGTTCATCTTTTTTTTTTTACATTGAAATTCATCCAGCGGGCCGGATAAGACCACCTGGACCTTATGAATGACACCCCTGCTTTAAACATTTAAAATTCCCTTTCAACAAGCTACAATAGCATTCAAAACAGAATAAAACAAAAAGAAAAAACACAGCAAGTAAAGTCATTAACATTATTTATTTTAGGAGGCAAAAACAACTTGTTGCTTATGGCTGTAAGCTACCGCTGTACTACTGTTGTAGTCTGATGTGATAACATTAGAATAGAATAGAATAGAATAGAATAGAATAGAATAGAATAGAATAGAATAGAAAAAGCCTTTATTGTCCAGTGGCGGGGAAATTCAGGTGTAACAGCAGCAGCAAATACATACATCAATCCACAAAACAGTATATTGCTATGTGACTTTATCAACTGTGGCAATAATAATAGAATTAAAATAATAAAAATTAAAATTAAAATAGAATAAAATAAAAATTACTGTACAAGACTATGAAGATGTAATAAGACAAGAATAAAAACAAAAGCAAGATAAACAGAAAGAAAAACAGTCATGACAGACTCGATCTGAGGAGGTGTGCAAAGTGAGTCAAACTCAGTCATTAAATCAGTGTTTCTATTCCATCAATATGTAATTTACTTGGTGTTTCACTCTATACCAGAGGGTCTTAACCTATGGTCCGCGGCCCACAATTGGGCCGTGAGCGCCACCTTGAGGGCCTCAAAAGAACAACAGTTTTTAACTTTGGGCCACAGAGGGCCGTGGGACCACATTGATTTTAAATAAGGTGTAATACACTTTCTCACCACTAGTAGCAGTAGTGCACCACTCAGATGTTTAACAACTTTTTAATATGTAGAAGAAGAACCTTAGAAACCTGCTGAGAATGGAAACTTATTTTAAATGAAAAGTAGAAACAAAAATGAAAGTAACTCATCAAAAACACCAAAGTTTGTCACTAATATGAAGAGCAGCTTCTGTTTTTACCATGTAATATTTTAAAAGTTCAAAACATTATCAAATACAGTTGTAGATACAACTATATTTTAATTTGCACTTTAAATTAATTTTTGTAGTTTATTTTAAGCATTTTGTCAAAAAGCTGTTGTTACTGTTATTGTTTGTCACTAATATGAAGAGCAGCTTCTGGTTCTACTATGCAAAAGTTTTTAAAAAGGCTTTACTTTCATTTGCACTTTATCAAATTTATTTTTACATTTTTTTTAATTTGGAACATTTACATTAAATWTTTCTGAAGGTATTTATTTTATGATCACAATTTTATTTATTGAATTATCTGTTTTTGTTGTTGTTCATGTTAAAAAAAAGTTAATTTTTGTCTGTGATGGACTTGCGACCTGTCCAGGGTGTACCCCGCCCCTCACACTGTGACTGCTGGATATGGACACCAGTGACCCTGAAAGGAAGAAGCGTGTACAGAAAATAGATGGATGGGTTATTTTTGTGTTGATAAACCTGAGTGGTCTGTTGACTGACCTTTGTATTTGTTCAAATAATAGTTATGGGCAGGTTACAATATAAAATGTTTGTTATAATCATGCCTTGTTATTTGACAGGAGTTTTACTTTTAAACTGTAAGTGTATTTTGTTTAGTTATAATGCAAATAAAATACAAATTAAACCAAGATTTATAATAATTATCATTTTGATCCGTATGGTAATGTCTGACTGGACCTGGTGTCACTTTATGTTGAATAAATTGGGCCCTGAGGGTCAAAAAGGTTAAGAAGCCCTGCTATATACTGGAGCTCTATGGATTTTATATTAACAATTAAGTTAAGATTATAGTTGTCGTTATTTCCCATACATTAAAACACATGTGAAGTACTGTACTGATCGGTGTATTTTAGCTTTAATACTGCATTTTTCTCTAGTTTGGGATCTTACATTGTAAAAGTACAACATGATGATGAATTTGTCCCATGTGGGTCATATTAGCATGTCATTTTAAGCATGTTCACATGTCAACTCAGTGAGTTCATTATTTTGGTGAAAAAATACATTAAAATATTTTCCACATTTAAAAGCTCTTGGTGGGATGAACTTTTTCTGACTTCACTTGCTGACTTTGGTAATTAAAAGTGATTCTCCTGCTTCTGTATAATATCCTCATGCAGACAAACATCACCACAGAGCAGTGTTTTACAGACATCAACCTGAAGTTTAAGAACAATAACCTGATCTAAAGTGAAACTAGTTGATTACTGTGCAGGAGGAAAGTAATGGTGATCTGTTTTCTGCACTTCCTGTGCCAAACTAAAGAAATGGGTTTGCTGTGCAACACGTTTGCTGAAGTCCTTTTCATTGGTATTATCGATATCCTGCTTGAGGTTTTACATTTTCAACTCACCCATATCTTGGCTGTTTTACAAAGGAAATGGATTTAGACTCACCACATAAAAATATGAAGTTAGATGTAAGTCGTGACTTTTTTATTGCTTTTTGAGCTTGTAACAATTTGACAACATGAAACCAAAGATTGATCCTCATCAGTACACGTGTTGCCTCAAATGATGCAACATTACAGTAGAATGAAGTCACACATTTTGAAACGATGTTAGAAGAGGTTGTGTGTTGGTATACAGCTGAGCGGCAGCTTGGCGGAACCTCTGGAGCAGCTGTCTGAACTGAGCAGAAATATCCTCATTGACATGGAGGTAAACCAGAGGGTTCAGAGCACTGTTCAGACACACAAGTCCACGAGTGATCCGATGGGTGATATAGACTCCATTGGCCCATCGGGGACATGTTCTCTGTTTGGACAGAACTCTTGACCAGAGGTTGAGGTTTTTGAGTACATGATAAGGGATATAACAAATCGAGAAGAGAATAATTAAAATTATAAGCAACTTCAAGCTTCTTTGCTTCAGTACCTTATCAATGTTGTTGTTGCAGCAGAGAACAACAATCACATGTCCATAGCAGCCCAGAACGATGAAAGAGGGAATACCAAATCCAATCAGTGTCCAGCTGAAGCTGTACGTCAGGTAATCCTCAACATATTCATYAGAGGTGGTATCAAAACAATCTCCAGTCCTGTTTTCAGATGTTTTGGGGAAAAACATATCTGGCAGACTTTGAACACCCACCAGGATCCAAACCAGGACTGAGATGATCACAGAGTGAGTCACAGTTAATCTTCCCATCACTCTCATTGGATGGACAATGGCCAGGTACCTGTACACACTTATACAGGTGAGGAAGCCGATGCTGCAGTACAGATTCAGGTTGAAGCAGAATCTTGTCACCTTGCAGAACTTGTCTCCAAAGATCCATGTATTTTCTTTAACGTAGTACACCACCAGGAAGGGAAGTGTCAGCAGATACAACATGTCTGCAAGTCCAAGATTAAGAACGAAGACATTTACATCCCCCAGCTTCTTCCAGTTGTGCAGCAAAGACTTCAGTCCCCATCCGTTAGCTGCCAGCCCAACAACAAATACTAAGATAAAAACAGGAGGTAAGAATTTCTTTGGGAAGCTAAAGCTGATCTCTTGGCAAGATGTATTCATCGTTTCAGCGTTCCTCCTCCAGATGAGTGTGCTGCTGTTCATCCTCGACAGAAAAAGAAGTATGCCTCATTTGGCTGAGACACTTCCTCTTAGTTTTGATGCTACATTTTTTCCAGGAAATAAGGTTGGTTGTTGCTTGTCAGAAATGAAAAGATAGAAAAATGAAAATTGACAGAACTGAGCTTTACTCTCTGATCTTGTAAAATTGTTTACAGCTAGCTGATTAAACCTACATGAGCACTACCTTCTTGAGTTCTTTCGGTCTGGTATTAAAACTCACCACAGTACTATAGAATGCTTTTAATGGCATTTTTTTAGCCGCAGACTTTGGTCACTGTGTTGTGATGCTGTTGGACCTATGCCTCTGACACAGTGGACCCTCAGATCCTGGGTGGGCAGGGTTCTGCCTCACAGTGGTTCAGATCTAATTTAACAGAGAGGAGCAGTTGAGCCCTCTGTACCACCTCTCACATGTGGCATGCCTCAGGGCTCTATACTTGGCCCATTTATTAGGGGTCCAAGCCCGAGGAAGCAGGGTAACGCAGCTGCAACGCAGCAGCGTTTCCATGTCTCCATCGG